GTGGCAACCTTACCAAAAACTGCAGCAATCTCCTACCACCATCTCCTCAGCCCATCTTCCTTGGAAGGACTGAAGTTAGAACAAAATGGTCCCACCAAGCCACACTCCGGCTAGGACATTTCCAATGAAGAGAATTGCTCCCCTTCTCCACCTCCTGATGAAGATCATCCATGGCGGTTCCTGTTCAAGAACTAGACAGGCAACCAGATTGGAAAGCACCTAAAAAACCAATTTCATCCAATAAACCCAGAAGTTGGGTGACACACTACATACTTAAGCAACTTGCCCGCACACTGCAAATTTGCAATGTTCAGATCAGGCAGGTCAAGTGCTAGTCTGTTTAAGACTTTCAGGAGTGTCAGAACCACACCTTCCCTTAATATTTGTAATATCTGCTCCTCAGTGCCCTAGTTGCTTTCCAGAAGTCCAATAAGGGCAAGTTGCATCATTAATGTGCTTGGAAGTTTTCCTCTCTCCAAATATCTTGTTTACATCTTCAGATTATGCAATCCGAAGAGTAGACAAAGAGAGCCCGCCCCATGGGCACACCACAATGCTCTTGAATTTGAGAACCCTGGATTCCACCCCCTTTCTATATTTTTTCTGAAATGGCCAAGATTATCGAAATGCTGATAAACTGAAAAAACTGCTCTGGTGTTCATGAGCTTTTGTGCAGTCCTTTTTCAAAGTGTAGTTTGGGCTCAGAGATGTGGAATGTGGTCTTTGGCTAAATGGGTTGTTTGCCCCTTTCCACATCTTATGGTGGATCCTGCTGAGTTGCTGCTTTTCTCCCTTCAAGCATATCTCACATGTTTTGAGCAAACACTAACATGTTCAGTCTTAGGCTGGCCTAAATTGACAAAAGGTGTATCTCTTTGCTTTGGCAGGACCCATGGGCAAATTCAGCACACCAGATTAATAATATAGAACAGGGCTTGGTTTCAATAGAGGAGAAAAGAATGTAGGCTGAATTGCCCTTTGGATGGAAATGAGGAATCTGTGTTTGTTTGTAGGTATTAATTCCTATTGCTAAATTAGCTCTTTCAACACCTGAAATACTTCCTGATCCCCACCCCCTTTGTGCTCCCAATCTACATCATTGCCCAATGCATCTGAGGTGGTTATCTAGTATACAAAGCCATTAACAACTTGGGATCAGTTTACCTATGAGACTGCCTTAACTCACATGTGCCCACTTGACTGCTTTGATTGGCAGAATTGGCACTATTACAGGTGGCACATAAGACCTGTTTTGCATTTGCAAGAACTCAGATGTAAACAGGCCCCAAGCTGTTAGGGCTTTAGACACTAACAGTAGCACCCAGCGGAAGGGGTGGGGTGGGGGTGGTCTGCCCCGGGTGTCATCCTGAGGGTGTGTGTGACAAAATCCCCCTGGACGCAATCACTGCCTCGCCAGATCGCCCCGCCCCTGGGTGCACAGCATGTGTGCCACTCCGGGTGCCCGAGCGGCTAGTTCCGCCACTGGTAGCACCTTGAACTTGGCTGGTAGCAGGGTCTGCTGCCAGCAATCATGCTGCAACAGTCTGCACTAACTGTAGCTTTGGGATCGAGCACAAATGAAGCTGCACATAGAGCATTGAAGTAAAATCCACGAAGTGATGATGAATTTAAGATTCTTGGGGGGGGGGATGAGAAACAGAGATAAACTGACATCAACAGAGACAGGGCCTTCTTCATAGTGATGCTCTGGCCCCCGTTTTCTTTTCACAGGCAGGTTTGTCTGGTGCTGAGCTTGCTATATTTTCAGTGCCAAATGAAATCCTTTCTTGTTTCTCACGCCATTTAGTTTGCATTCCTATATTCACTTTTATGGGAGTGAGTCCCATTGAATTCAGCCGGACTTAGTTCAGAGTAGAACATTTGCTATGTTTTAATTATTTATTTATGGCATTGGGTAATTGGGACAGATTAGAGATTCTGTTGGTTTACTGCCTGCCTCGCTGCCCAGCAGTCTCCCTGCCTGAGCTGGGGGACCTGGTCTTGGCGGCGATGTTCAGGATTCCCAGAGTGTTGGTTCTTGGGAACATCAATATCCATGCCAAGGTGGGTGGCTCAGGACTTCATGGCTGCCATGACAACGCGGCTGTCCCAACATGTCACTGGTCCGACACATATGGCTGGTCACACTCTGGATTTTGTCTTTTTGACTGGGCCAGAAGAGAGTGATCTGTAAGTGGGGGGTATTGACACCAGCCCCTTGTCATGGTCAGACCACTTCCTGTTGAGCTTTAGGCTTTCAACACCCTTTCCCCTCTGCAGAGGTGGGGGACCTATTAGTATGGATGCAAGTGGTTTCCAGTCGACTCGGGGAGTTTCCCCCGCTGATATGGCAGGCACTTCCATTGAAGCCCTGCTCAATCAGTGGAACAGCTGTTGACACAATCACCCCGAGTCCCCTCTCCTGCTTCATGGAGTCCGTCTGACTACGTGGTATCCTCTCAAACTTAATTGAAGAATCAAGCTGAGATACAGCTTGAATGCAAGTGGAGGAAAACTCCAGACGAACGGCAGTGGCAGTGAAGGCAGCAAAAAAAGCACACTTTGCTACCTCCATGGCACCCTCCCTATGCCACCTGGCAGAGCTTTTCTGGGTAGTGCAGGGACTTCTGTGGACTGGCTAAAAGAGGTGGTAGAACTGAGGGTAGCTTGCTCTGACTTGCTTGCCAAGCAGTTGGAGGGTAAAATCACCTTGTCTCTGCTGTAGTAGCATTTGAATCTCAAGAGACGTCCCGAGCACGGTGTACAGTTCTGTTTCGTTAGATGAATTTCAGTTGCTGTGATTTGATGATGTGGACAAGGCACTTGGATTGAAATGAAATGAAATGAAGTTTATTACGGTCCCAGACCAGATTCACATACCGTACTAAACAAACATGAAACACAATAGAATTAAGTTTGAATTTACAATAGAATATAACAATAAACAATACGAATATGACAGCCGTTAGAAATGTGGTTTAGGTCTTAGTCTCTAAAATATTATCTAGGGTTTGCATCTGAGGCCTTAGTCTTTGTTAATGCACAGCTTGTCCCTGAGTTTTATGGCAGCCACGCAAAATTTGGCCACCCTTAGCGTGATCTCTGGATCCTTATATTCTATCAGGGATTTTAAGCATTGAGGTTCAGACCCACTTGGAATTTTCTGTATAACAGGGGTGATGAAGACCAAGCGTATATCCTCTTGAAAACAACATTGTAGCATGAGAGACACTTGGATTGCTTTGGAAAACTATCTGCATTCTGGACCCTTGCCCCTCTTGGCTGATAAAATCCAGCAGGGAGGAGACAGCTTTCTGAGATGGGCAGGTGGTCAGTGCTTCTTGATGAGAGGGGGTGGTTCCTGTTTGTTTGATGGATGCAGTGAAAAGACCACTGCTTAAGAAACAATCCCTGGATTCTGAGAGCTACCAGCCAGTTGCCAACCTCCTTTTTTTAAAAAGCAAGGTTCTTGAGTGAGTGGTCACTGACCAGATCCATGAGTTATTGGAGACTGATTTAGATCCATTTCAGTTGGGGTTTTGGCCTGACTTTGGCACAAAAAACTGCCTTGGTCACCTTATATGATGACCTCTGTTGGGGGGGGCAATGTGTCCCTGTTAATCCTCCTTGACTTCTCAAGGAAAGGTTATTAGAGTTGGAGGTGGGTGGCACGGCTATGCAGTGGTTCTGGTCCTACCTGGATGGTCATCTTCAGTGGGTGATGCTTGGGGTGTGTTTTTCGGCACCATGGGGCCTTCAGTGTGGGGTCTCTCTGGGTTCAATTCTATCCTCCATGAAGCCACTGAGTGAAGTCATCCAGAGTTTTAGAGTGTGTTTTCAGCTTTATGCAGAGAACACACAGCTCTAATTTTCCTTTACATCTATAGATTTGGCAGTGGATGTGCTGGACCAATGTCTTGTAATGGACTGGATGGGAGCCAACAAACTGAAGCTCAGTCCAGAGAAGACTGAGGCCCTGTTAGTAGGTGGTTCCCTAGACCAGATGGATGAAAGATTGCCTGCTGCTGATGGGGTTACTCTCTCTGAAGGAGCAGATACGTAGCTTAGGGGTACTTCTGGAATTTCTGCTATTGCTTGAGACTCAGGTGGCCTCAATGGCAGAGAGTGCCTTCCATCAGCTTTTTGCCTAACTTCTGTGGCCTATGCTCTGGTAACCTCCAGGTTGGATCACTGCAAGGTGTTGTGTGTGGGGCTGCCTCTGAAGACAGTTAGAAAACTTCAGCTGGTGCAAAATTTGACAGCCAGGTTGCTCATCAAAACGAGATGGTTTGAGCATTCTGTATATCCCTGATGCTGGCCCGACTGCACTGGCTGCCAATTAGTTTCCAGTCCCAATTGAAAGTGCTGATGCTGACCTATAAATGCCTTAAGGACCACCTTTCCCCATTCAAACTGACCCAGACCCTGCACTTGTCATTTGAGGCGCTTCTTTATGTCCCCCATCCCAGAGAGGTCCAGCGGTTACAACACAAGAACAAGTCTTTTCTGTGGTGGCTCCTCATCCGTGGGTGCTGGTGCCATCTTTACATGTCTTTAAGTGCCAGGCGAAAACATTCCTCTTTACCTTCAGCCATTAAATAATCTATGGCCTGTTAAATGTGGGGCAGTATTTTTATGATTATTTTATTATGATGCTGTGTATTATGTCTTTATTATTATGCTGCATAAATTATGTTCTTAATGTTGGACACCACTCTGGGATCTTTGGATAAATGTATATAAATGGAATATATAAAATATATTTGTAGATGGGGCAGTATAGGTCTTATTACCAACTGAATTAGTTTAGTTTTCAAAACTCTGCATGTAAATTCTCAATGTCTTAATGACAAAGCATAATGTCTTATGGTGTAATGCCTTACATACCTCTGCCAAATAAGCCTCATAAACACAATGGGTGTAACTCCCAGGGAATTGTACATAGATTGTGTGTGTAGGATACAGCTTTAGTTTGTAATGGAAACAGACAACTGAATGAATAACAGTAGAAAATGATAGATTTTTAAAAGTTTACATCCAAAATGCCTCTGCACAGTAGTTATTATGAACAGAATCAAAGTTACAACATGTACCAGAAGATTGCTAATGATTTTTGCTCTTGATTACAAAGTCTCTATTAGATAGCTATATTTAAATACTTTTGACAAGCTCTTAACAAAGAAAGAGATGACAGCTTATGATTCTATAACAGCACACTAAAGCAAATTGTGTAAATATGATATGTTCACAATTTTATTTCCCATAGCACTACAGATATATTCAGATATATTCAAATACGGGGGGAAATTAAAATTGATTTTTCATCAAAATTCAAAACTTGTTAATTAGATTCAGACATTAAGATTTCCCTTTCTTAGTTAAGCAGATTTAAGATTTTCTAAATGACTGTTAATTGCTAAACACATTTGTTTTTACAGATAGAAAGAAAACCCAAATTACATGAAAACATCTGCTACAAAATGTTCTGCTCTATAGCTGGCCTTGCAAGTCTGATTAGCATCTGATGTGGTCAAGTCCTCCTGTTCCCTGCAGTGACATTATGAATTCTTCTGTGGAATCTTGATGGTGACTGTCTTGACTTCTGTGTACTCATGAAGGCCATATTCTCCACTTAAAGAGAGAGAGAGACCATCAGAATAGCAACAATATTTAATACATCTGTGATCCAGCATGTTCAATGTCCAAGAGCTGCAAATATCACCTGACAGTGTATTTTGATCAGATGTTACAGGAAGCTTGGATAGCCAGAGATGTCAGTCTCTGTGACAGCCTTTTTTTATGATGACAGACAGAGCCTGGGAAGCTTTGGCTTGGCAACTGAGTGGCTAGGAGTGGAATTTGAACACTACGGTCAATGAGCTACTTTTGAAAGTTAAACCATGTGCCTCCTTCAGCTTACACTGGGTGGTTGAGGGGGTTTCAAATGAGAACTTGGCAGTGTCAATTGGTTGACTGATAAGGGGGTGTTTCAATCAAGTCTGACAGAAGCCATTTCCTGTTTATGGAAGTGAAAGGACCAACATTCTGGTACAATTTCTATTCAAGAGAGTCTGACAAAGGGCGCATTTCTAGTGACTGTGTCCAAATTCTCTTAGACACAAGAGCACCCAGCCATGGACTCCACAGAAATTATTGTCTTCCTCTGAGGCCTAATGCATGATCTGGGCTAGATAACATTTCAGAATAGAAATCAGCTTCTTCGCCAAAGAAGGCTATTTGCTCTCCAAGAAGGCACAGAGGCTTGCATTCTGTATGGATCTGTGCTATCAGATACCATTTTATGACATCTTTAAATGGAAGTTTGGAGTAGCTTCAGGCAATATTCTAGTGGCATTTGTTTTCCTGCTAGAATGGACTGTTTTGTAAAACTGAAATGAATTGCACATTCACATTTTTTCATTTCAGTTTTACAAAACAGTCCATTCTAGCAGGAAAACAAATGCCACTAGAATATCCAACAGGGCAAACTTCTGGATAGAAAATGTAATTAGCAATGTTGAAGAATTCCAATGAAAACAGAAGCAAAAGCTACTGATGTTCACTTATTCACGCCATGCCCAGAATAGAAATCAATCCAGCAAATACTGATCAGTCTTTGCTGTTGTTTCTCAGTCCCCAAAATATATATAATTGATTATGGTTCCCACCCCCACCCCCATTTTAGATTGTGTTGAAATGAATAGTGTGGAAGTAATTGCATCATTCATTATGTTAAGTTGATAAATAATTATGTAAATTATATTAAATAGTGAACAGTGAGATGTATAACTTGGCATTTGGTGGAAAAGAAACCACTGCAAAACAGAAACAGCACAGGTTATTTCCTTCCTAATTGCAACTGATATGGACAGCATATCACAGGATGAGTTAATACAACCCACAGTTTCTACACAGTGATGTTCCTTTCCTGTCTTCCCTGACTGGTTACTCATTCTTATAAGCCAAAGCAGCGGAAATGCCAGGAGAGCAAAGGCAGACTTCCTGGAAATAAGAATGTTGTAGTGGTGACATTTTGTGCAAATACGAACTTGCTCAGATAAAATCTCTGAAATCTGTATTTGAAACAAATCCCCACTGACTTTACTTACAGCTCTCGGCCATTTCCTGACATTTTGAATCCTCCGAAAGGAACCTGAGCAGCCACTGCACTATAGCAGTTCACCCTGAAGAAAAAGAGAAGATGGAGCAACTTAGTCATGGGCAGATATTCTGCTAGGTCATAAGAGCTAGCTGAGTTTCTTTACAGAATCTTGTACTATGTGCATACTTTAAAAATCAGAATAAACATGAATTTCTTTCATGTCACAAAAATACAAGTATGCTGCAAGCTCTTCTGTATGTCTGCTACCTAACAGTAGCAATTGTTGAATTATTCAACCCAATTCATAGAAAATACAGAAATACAGTACTGTCAACATGTGGAGTAGCATGTTGTTCAGTGATTAGTATGGATAGTGAGCTTTCAGACTTAAATCCCTGCTCTGATAAGGATTCCTTGGGTTGTTTGCCTCTAAATTTTTGCAGTGTGTCAGCTTGAGCTGGTTTACCAGCTACACACTTTCCTGAAGAAGAATGGCCTTGTCACAATGATGCATGCCTTAGTCTACTACTCTAATGGACAGTAGGTGCGGGTGCCTTTGAAAAATATTCAGAAAATGCAATGGTCTTGGTGATTCACCAGCTTAATTGGTTCCCAGGCAGTTCCTGCACAAAAATGAAAATGTTGGTATTATCCTTTGAAGCACTAAATGGTCTGCGTCATCAGACCCTAAAGAACACCTGCTCCCATTTGTGCCTACCTGTGTGCTGAGATCTTCCTCAAAGGCCCAGCCTCATGTGCTCCCACCATTTGCAGCATGGCAGATGGTGATGTGAGTTAGCAGTGGCACAGAAGCTGTAGAACTGCATCCCATGAGAAATGTTTTTCAAAATTGTGCCTAAATCATGATGCCATCTGATGGGCAGGGTTGTATTTTGTGTTGGCTGCACATGCCTGTTATTGGAGCAGGATCCGTCAGCTGATAAGCAGAGGTTAAACCTTGCTCAGTTTCACAGGAGTCCATGCAAACCCCTTCTTGATTCAGAACAGCATTCACACGGAAACTGCTGCTAAAACTAAGCCGTTTGCCTGGAATCTCTTGCTAAAATGGAGGAAATAACCAACTTTGGGACCTCAAAGCACCTTGCATCTGATGTCATTGGGATGTCAGATGATTGACAGGTGGGTGGCATGTGATGCCAATTCTGATAAGGGTATGACCCCTGAAGCAAAAAAGATTCTTTGTTAAAACTACAGTCTAAAGATGTAGGAAGAGGTAGCAGACTTAATAGGTTCATGTCTCAAAGATGCTATTCAGGTTTGAGGTTACACAGCTTTTCTCTCTCTTCAGGTACTCTGTGTGCCTTCAGATCACAAATACCCATTAAATCGTGCTGTAAGTCTTCTATGTAAGGTTAATTTGGGTAAAATAACAACACCAAGGGTACTTACCAGACTGTTCCAGCCTGAAGAGCAGCTGCAAATGTCAGAGCTTTGTTAATGTCTTTGGTAAACACTCCAGCTGCTAGACCATAATGAGTATTGTTTGCTCTTTTTATAACTTCATCAACAGTCTTGAACTTCATGATTTGCTGAACTGGCCCAAAAATCTGTTTGAAATCAAAAGAAGCAATCAACAATTAGCATGGCAAAAATCAATAGATATTTTCTTGCAAAGTATACTTTCCCTATTACATAGGTCTTAAAGTATTATTCTCATTAGTGATCAAATCAGTGCTCTTTGACAAGGTGATTACTTTATAAGTTTAGACCCACATTTTCCCTATGAAACTTACCAACCTGCCTGCTCCTTCCCTATCACATTAATCTTCATAACACCATTAAATGGAACACAGAGATTCTCTATAGCATGGTTCATGGAGATCTCAGAGTCAAATAAATGTAGGATCTCCTATTATAGCTATTGCCTTCAGAGGAGAACCAGAAAGATGTTCAGCAGTTTGGAAAACAAGTCCTCCAAAGAAATATCGAATATTGGGCTGAGTATGTTTGACCCAGAGAGAAGACTAAGAGAGGAAATGCTAGCATTCTTCAAACAACCAAAGGCCTGTCACACTGAAGAAGTTTAACTTCTCAGTTCTCTGCTGCCTGAGGATGCAGGACAAGATAATTTGCTGTATAATTCTGTCTACCCAGAACTATTGAATTCAGTGGGGCTGACTCCCAGGTAAATGGGATTAAGATTGTAGCCTTAGGGCTTGTCTACTCAGAAGCAAAATGTGGGTTTGCAGCTGTAGGATGTAAAGGCAACCACAAAGCACCACTGGACCTTCCCTTCATTAAGGTTGTTTCAATCCTTAAGGTAAAGGGACCCCTGACCATTAGGTCCAGTCGTGGCCGACTCTGGGGTTGTGGTGCTCATCTCGCTTTACTGGCCGAGGGAGCCGGCGTACAGCTTCCAGGTCATGTGGCCAGCATGACTAAGCCGCTTCTGGCAAACCAGAGCAGTGCACGGAAACGCCGTTTACCTTCCCGCCAGAGCGGTACCTATTTATCTACTTGCACTTTGACATGCTTTCGAACTGCTAGGTTGGCAGCAGCAGGGACCGAGCAACGGGAGCCCACCCTGTCGCGGCGATTCAAACTGCCGACCTTCTGATCGGCAAGCCCTAGGCTCTGTGGTTTAACCCACAGCGCCACCCACGTCCCTAGTTTCAATCCTTAGAAAGTGTAAAATAGCCAAGGGTGAAAACACACACATACATTTAAACAGGGGAAGGTCCGGGAGGACTTCGTGAAGATGCCCCTCGATTAAAGGGGAGATAGCTTAATCTAGCCAATA